TGGGACCACAGGTGCCTGCCACACTGCCTGGCTATTTTTTTGTTCTTCTTGTTGTTGCTGCAGTTGTCATTGTTGTTTTAGCTGGCTTGGTCTGGGTTCATACCTGCCAGCCTCGATGTATGTGGCCAGTGCCATACCCACTGAGCTACTGGTGCCTCCTGAAGGTGAATTTCATAAGACAAAGCATTGTACAATCTGTTGGAAGTGATGACAAAAGATACTTGCAAGGACAATTTTATGATGCATGGTATCACCTCATATTCTGCAAGAAAACCAATCATAACAATTTCCATCTACTCCCATATTTGACCCCTCAACAATACTATGAAGGAAACTATTATTCTCATCTTGTAGGTGACCAATTTGGTCTTAGGGAGGTTAGTTAGCTTAAACTGAGTTAGTAGTGGCTAGGTGTGGTAGCTGTAATCCTAGCACTCTGGGAGGCTGAGGTGGGTGGATTGCTTGAGCTCAGGAGTTTGAGACCAGCTTGACCAAGAGCAAGACTCCATCTCTAAAAAAAAACTGGTGCCTATAGTCCCTGCTACTTGGGAGGCTGAGGCAAAAGGATGACTTGAGCCCAAGAGTTTGAGGTTGCTGTGAGCTATGATGCCACAGCACTCTACGAGGGTGACAAAGTAAGGCTCTGTCTCTAAAAAAAAAAACTGAGTTAGTAGTAGTGCCAGGATTTGATTTCAGACCTTTGGAATCAAAGTGGCCCCAGAATCCACTTTCATAGCCAGTACATGTCTTGCCTTTCATTTCCCATAATACTCAGTATGAGAACAATAATCCTGGGAGCTGCAACGGGCTCTTGTGTTAGGCTTGCCACTTAGAGTTAGGCAGGCTGTTCCCTGCAGAAGGGTCCCTGGCTGAAGGACTAGTGCTATGTACCGAAGGAGGGGATCACCTTTTTAAAAAAAATTCACACAGAGCAGCTTCATTGTTTCTTTTTTCCCCCCAGTTCTACTTTCCCCAGAAGGAACAGGAGAAAATGACCAAGTTTCAGGTGAGTTGAATTTTGATTTTTTATCTCTTAAGATGACATCTCTTTTCTCAAAGATTAGGTGTATCTTTTTTTATCTTCATTGGGCAGAATAAAGAGAGAAAATAGGTATTTTTGATCTGCCCAGTTACTTGCTTTTTCATTGGTTCTATTTTTTATTTTTGTCTTTACTTTTGTTTTTAGTTGTGGTGGTTTATAGTCATTTTTGTTTCACAAATAATAGTGTGCAAACTCAGAGATATAAAAAGTGTTTAAAACCCACATTACTATTTAAAAATCATCTATTGGCTGGATGTGGTGGCTCACACCTATAATCCTAGGACTCTGGGAGGCTGAGGCTGGTGGATTGCTTGAGACCCTGTCTTTTTTTTTTAGAGAGAGAGTCTTACTTTATTGCCCTTTGTAAAGTGCTGTGGTGTCATAGCTCATAGCAACCGCCAGCTCTTGGACTTAGGTGATTCTCTTGCCCCAGCCTCCCGAGTAGCTGGGACTACAGGCACCCGCCACAATGCCTAGCTATTTTTTTGTTGCAGTTTGGCCAGGGCTGGGTTCAAACCTGCCACCGTTGCTATATGGGGCCGGTGCCCTACCCACTCAGCCATAGGCGCTGCCCTGAGACCTTGTCTTTACTGAAAATGAAAAACTGAGGCAAGAGGATCGCTTGAGCCCAAGAATTTGAGCTTGCTGTGACCTGTGACTCCGTGGCACTCTACCAAGGGTGACAAAGTGAGATTCTGTCTCAAAATAAATAAATAAATAAAATAAAAAATAAAAATCATCTATTAATATTTCCCTTACACTATTTTTATGTCTTTATACAGCTTTTGTTTTATATGTATACTTTTACATATATTCTACATAACAACAATCACAGAGGGAACAAGGTGGAGGGGTCATGATGTATGCCATCCTCTTGGGGGTGATTCTTGTAGGTGGGATACAGTTATAAGAGGGACTTTATCTAACAAATGCAATCAGTGTAACCTAATTATACTTTAACCCCAAATAATAATAAAAAGGAAAAAAAATCACAGTATAAGTATAATGTTCAATTTTGTCAGTATTACTTTTTATGCTTTGGCATTCTTTTATGTATTCGTTTCAGAAGGGTTTCCCATTTTTGTCTAATCTTTCAGAAGCTCAAATAAGCATGCAGATTGCTATGTCTGTAAACAGTGTTTTGATTTGTAATACTTGTGCACGGACTTTTAAAAATGAAATACAATCTATCTACCAAAAATACACATATCTGTGATTGCAAACTAACACAGCCTCTTTGGAAAGAAGTATGGAGAATCCTTCAAGATCTCAAATTAGATCTCCCATTTGACCCCACAATCCCACTACTAAGCATCTACCCAGAAGAAAAATAAATCATTTTTATCATAAGGACATTTGCTTTAAATTGTTTATCGGAGCTCAGTTTATAATCACCAATAAATAGAAACAGCCTAAATGCCCATCAACTCAGTAATGGATTAACAAATTGTGGTACATGTACACCATGGAATACTACTATTCAGACATGAAAAAAGATAGTGACTTCACATCTTTTGTAATATCTTGGATGGAGTTGAAACACATTCTTCTTGGTAAAGTATCAGAAGAATGGAAAAGCAATTATCCGATGTACTCAATACAAATACAAAGCCAGCAGACAATCTGATGCATGCCCACATAGGAGAAAAACTCATTTTGATTCAAGTTGGGGGGAGGGGAAACAATGGAGGTGGGTAGAGGGTTGAGCATGGGGTGAGGGTGTTTGGCACACTTTTTGCATGTGGGACATAACCACAAGAGGGACTCTATCTAACAAAATCAAATATTTTGACCTGGTTGTTTGTAATCTCACATTAACCTGAAATAAATTTACTTTAAAAAAAAATAAAATAGGGTGGTGCCTGTGGCTCAGTGAGTGGGGCGTCAGCCTTATATACTAAGGGTGGTGGGTTCCAACCCGGCCCCGGCCAAACTGCAACAAAAAATAGCCAGGCATTGTGGTGGGCACCTGTAGTCCCAGCTACTCAAGAGGCTGAGGCAAGAGAATCGCCTAAGCCCAAGAGCTGGAGGTCGCTGTGAGCTGTGTGACTCCATGGCACTCTACTGAGGGCGACAGGGTAAAACTCTGTCTCTAAAAAAAAAAAATAAAAAAATAAAATAAAATAAAACAAAATCTTTCTCCCTCAAGAAGCATAGTTTATAATCCAAAATCATACTTTAATAATTCTGTAATATATTTTATAATACATAGAATATAAGTACATTCATCATGTCTTTATAGATATAGTTATAATGCTTGCTAAGCCATTAAAATTTGTTTATGTTTATGGAATATCACCCTTGTTTGTTTTTTTTTTTTTTGCACTTTTTGTCTGGGGCTGGGTTTGAACCCACCACCTTCAGCGTATGGGGCTGGTGCCCTACTCCTTTGAGCCACAGGTGCTGCCCTATTCATTTGTTTTTTGAGACAGAGTCTCACTATGTCACCCTGGGTAGAGTGCCATGGCATCACAGCTCACAGCAACCTCAAATTCTGGGACTTGAGCCATTCCTTGCCTCAGCCTTCCAAGTAGCTGGGACTACAGGTGCCTATCACAAAGCTCAGCTATTTTTTGGTTGCATTTGTTGAAGGCCTGGGCCGGGCTCCAACCCACCAGCCTCAGTATATGTGACTGGCACTCTACTCACTGAGCTATAGGTGCCAAGCCTACCCTTGTTTTTATGGTAATTAAAAATCCACAAAAATTTCAGAAGAGTTCTGAGTTTCAAAAAAAGTCTAAAATTTCTTTTTAAAGAAGATTTATGTACTGTTGATTTATGTCTTAAGTTGAAAGTATTCCATTTTTCTTTTTAGTATCCATTCATTAGTATTTCTTAACTTTATTTATTTATTTATTTTTAGAGACAGAGTCTCACTTTGTCACCCTTGATAGAGTGCTGTGGCATCATAGCTCATAGCAACCTCCAGCTCTTGGGTTTAGGTGATTATTTTTCCTTAGCCTCCGGAGTAGCTAGGACTACAGTCACCTGCCAGAACGCCCAGCTATTTTTTTGTTGCAGTTTGGGCAGGACTGGGTTTGAACTCACCACTCTCAGTATATGGGGCCGGTGCCCTAGCCACTGAGCCACAGGCACTGCCCCAGAATATAAATGTCTTAACACAATAAGAAAATGAGGTGAAGGCTATGTTGACCAGTTTGATGAAAGTATTTCAAATTGTATATAAAACCAGCACATTGTACCCCATAATCACATTAATGT